ATGTATTGCTGGTAATAATTTTTCTACAAAATTTTATTGCTAGTAATAATTTTTTACAAAGGATTTCTGCTATCAATATATATTTTTACACTTCCATATTTTTTTTTTTACCCCAGTTAGGGGGATAACTATTTGCCCATATCTTGGACCCTAACAGTTAATACCACCCCAGGTCAGGGTGGACCTGGGAACACCAGCTTTTAAGAGGTGGTTACATGCTCCCTAAAACCTCCTGATCTGAGGTCTTGCTGTTGGACGTAGTTTATCGTCTTACCCAGGACGGAATGCAATTCAGTGGGACATCACCGATTAAAGCATGAAATTTTGGTGTTACCTGTTTATGAGACACGGGTAAAGCGTTGCCAGTCTGACCCCATTCGAAAAACTGACCTCGCATGATATCTTTCGTAGACTAATTGTTCATCATCCCCCGTGTATATAATTGGAGGTCTTGAAGGTTTCTCGGCTCGACCAAATAGAAATTCCAAATTCATTGGAGCAGTCCGAATCGAAAAGTTCTCAGCACTTATTCTTTCTGCTATCAATGTTCAGTTCTAGAACTTTTTTGAAATTGTTTTTTTTTCTTCGAGCCGAAATTATTTCATCACTGTTTCGTATAAACCAAATTTGGTACTATAAAATAATTAGATGCAACACAATGACATTGTAAAACATTTGATAGGTTCTTGTTGCCACAGAGATGTTTATATAGTTTATCAATGACATGATTAAACTCAGCAAGCGTGTTGCTGTTTTTACTGTTGATTTTGAAACAAGAAAATTTCACTATATGTACTAAATAATATCTGTCCTATAATGCAGTGAATGCTGGACAGTCTTCTTACAGATGAAAAATTTACTTGAAGTATTAGAAATTTGGTTCTACAGAAGGATGCTGAGAATACCATAGATCAAACATATGAGTAATGATGAAATTTGAGTAGAAAAATGGAGAAAAAAGATACATATAGTTCACATAAGCTAGAGATAATTGCAATTTTTAGAGCAAATAATGAAGAAAGAGTGACTGGAGAATTTGATACACACTGGATAGATTGAAGGCAAGAGGAATGTAAGTAAACAGTGCTTAAACTAGCTAATAAGCCTGTGTAGTGATTTTTCTAAGTAGTGCTCAGATGTGGCACAAGGCTGAAAGTATGGAGCACCCAGTGAGGATGGAACACCTTATTCAATCGTAATTGTTCTAGCCAGACAAGCTCTCTAGCCATTACATCACACCGAGGTGCCAAATATAGTGATTTTCTAAACGATGCTTAGGTGTGGCACATAGAGGAAAGTATGGCGCACTTAGTGAGGATCGAACTCACTACTAAGTCGTAATTCTTCTAGCCAGACAGGCTTGCTAACCATTACACCACGTGGAGGTCCCCTAAGCCTGCGTAAATGGATGGCAGAACACGGTGTAGGAGATATAGCAATAGTTACTAACAGCGACAAAGGACAAGATATTGTGAAGTGCACAGCGTCGAAAACGTCAAAAGTGTTGGGGAATATAAAGGAAAAATTACAAGAGATGGGTGAAGTAATTAAAATTGATTCGTTAGTTTGTTATTTGCTTCAAACCGAGGCAGGAAATGTTAAGAACTGATACATTAGACATAAGTATGATCCTTTTTTGAAATGTCTTCTGTTGTTTGTAACGGTTCCACGCGAATCTTCTTATTTTATGATATGTGTCCCTTCAAAACGTAGGCGATCATGGCCCTTCACATCTTCCTGTCTCTTATAGTCTTGTCTTTTTGTTATTTCTCCCAATCACTTTTCCGCCATCGTTTGGCTGAAGCCCATTAAGTATATTACACGCTGCTTTCCTATGTCCCTCTTTCCCTCTTTTCTGTCTTGAGAGTGTCAGAATTTCCAGGCCCTCCTTCCTCATAATGTCTCCGGAAATCTCAGCTGCCATTTTTTTCTGTTTTAAGTATAAGTTTCCTTTTTTTCATTCTCTCCAAAACCTCGGCGTTTCTCAAATGTTTGGTCTATGGTCTCCCCAGCATCTTTTTGTAGAGCCACAATTCAGTTGCTTCAATTTTTTATCTTCATCTTTGAGGAAACTGTTCAGTATTTCCTGCCATACGTGAGGACAGTTATCTCCTAAAAATTCAGTACTCGTTTCTTTGTTTCTAACTATTTTTTTTTTCCAATCAAATTCACCGCTATGTCAACTGTGGCCCACATGAGTAGACTACTTGGAAAGACGAAATCGGAATTTACGTTCGATTATATATATATATATATATATATATATATATATATATATATATATATATAAGGATTACCTTGAAGATCCGTTTCCCTGGCTCTTTAGGATTTATTTTACTTATTCTCGCTCTACTAATCGTAGTGAGTATTCTACGTTTTAGTCTTACTACTCGCTTGGTTTTTTTTGTTTCTTTGGACTAAAGACTTAAGGGACTATTCGATTTATATCGCCATGTTCGGTTTTTTCTTTTTTATTTCCAATTTTTTCCTCGGCTACCGA